TAAATACATATTGAAAAACGAAAAAAAAATGTATTATTAAAATAATTGAAATCAAGTAGGGTTAAAATGATCCAAAAATGATTCTCACATGATGTGATATTTAGAGCATGTTCGGTACAACTTAAAACTCAATTAAAATTAAATTTTTGACTATTATTTCATTATTACAACCGTCATTTTTGAATTCTTCACTCACAGGTAAGATCTGCTTTATCTCTAACGGTCAAAAAATCAATTAACAAAATCTCTACAAACAAGCATTTAATATATTATCGATAAAAAAAATACTTGGTAAAATAAAAATAAAACTTATTGGTTGACCCTAAAACCTATTAGCTCATGCCTAGAGCTAGTAGATTTTGGAGTGAATCGACTGGTTCACTCCCAACAACTTATTTTCTTTATAATTTTATCTATTTCGAGTCAATACTTTATTCGAATTTAAAAATTTTGATTAAATAAGGAGTTAAAAAAAAAAAAAAAATCTTCCTAACAAATATTAGGTCTTCAAAATCTTAATATTTGCCAAAATAAGAGAGAATAAGTAAAATATTTAGGGGTTTGGTGTGATTAAATCAAGTTTCTATTAAATTTTGATAAAAGTTGATGAATATGAAGTTGACAATTTATGGATCACATCAAATATATGACTAAAATTATTTATTAATAAAATTCTTAAAATGTTAACTCATTACCATTCCCTTGTTTAGGCTCACTTTTTCCAAAAATGCAATTTTTTCTAAACTCATTTCAACCATACATTCTTTCATAAAATATATTACACATAAATCTAAAACTTTTCCTTATTTTCATCACACATTCTTCATAACACCACTATTCTAAAATATATTTTCTCTTAAAATCTTGTTTTAATGAGGCCCAATCAAAGGCAAATTTTACAGCAAAAAATAATTTTAAATCAAGAACAAGGTGAGTGCAAAATAGGGATGTTAACAAGTTGAGTCGAGTCGAGTCGAGCCGGCTAGCGAGTTGAAATTTGAGGTTGAGCTCGGCTCAAGTAAAAATAGTGCGATCTTTTCGAGCTCGACCCTGAGCCAAGCTAAGCTTCTGCTGGTCAAAATATCTAGGTTTCAACTTTAAGCTTGGGCCTTATCAAGTTAAGTCAGACCGAGTCGAGCTAGCTCACGAATTTTTTTATTATTTAATTAAGTAGTTAAGGCAGTTAGGCAGGCTAACTTTTTTTTTTTTTTTTTTAAGGCTCGACTCGTCACAGGTCGAAAATAGCCAGTGATATGAGTCGAGCCGGTTTGGACTTTTCTTGGGCCGGGCCGTCGAAGTCGACAAACCAAAAATTTACACCCCTAGTGGAAAAGCAAAAATATTACTGAAACTTCTACCTACTTATAAAAAAAAAATGAAAATAAAAATAATAGTGGACCCCAAAATCAATTATTACTTCTTTGCTTCCTTAATCCAACTTTTATTTATCTAGTTATTTATTTTTTTCCTGAAGTTCCACGTCTAGTTTGCTGTCTACCTATTCAAACCGCCCATTCTGTATTTCTAAATAAAACAACTTCCCCATCTACTGTTCTCTCTCTCTCTCTACCCAACAATACAGTTCTGTTCTTTCCATTCCATTCTGATTCTGATTAATTATTTTATAATCTCCATTTCTATTTCGTATTTGTATGTACCATAAACGAAGTAAAAATCATGGCTGCAAACAAATTTGCAACAATGTTGCATAGAAATACGAACAAAATTACACTCATTCTGATATATGCAGTTCTTGAATGGATTTTAATCCTTCTACTTCTCCTCAATTCTCTATTTTCTTATCTAATCATCAAATTTGCTGAGTATTTTGGTCTAAACCCACCTTGCCTTTGGTGTTCTAGAGTTGATCATATCTTTGAACCTGCAAAAAGTAACAAGAATTTTCACAGAGATCTTCTATGTGAAGTTCATGCCAAAGAGATCTCTAAATTGGGTTACTGCTCAAATCACCAAACGTTGGCTGATTCTCAGTATATGTGCGAGGATTGCTTGTCCTCAAGGCCAGAATTTTATGGGGTAAGTTTTAAGTGTTCTTGTTGTGGGGTAATCCTAGATAATAATATATATTCTTCATATACTGAGATAAACCCTTCTTGGGATGTTTTGGAACGTTCCCACAAAGAAAAATTGATTGAAGATTCCGGGGAAAATGAAAATCATGTACAAGAAGATCATAAATCTTGTGAAAAGATATCAGATTTTGTTATTGATTTATGTGATGCTGAACATGAGCTGGAAGAAGCGAATAGAGCTCAGATTCTGTGTGATTTTGATCGAGATTTGAATGTATCAGATAACGAAATAGAAGATAATGTTTCTATTTCAGTAAACGTGAATGAGATGAAAGAATTGGAAGGTGAAGACGGTGAAAAATTAGATGTGGTTATGGAAATGGAAGAAGAAAAAGAGAAAGATAAGGGGCAAAACTCGACTATAGACATGGTAGATAGGTCTGTTCAGGTTTCAATTGAAGAAGAAAAGGATGTTCCTCTTGATATTTCCCCTCAGCATCTGGAATTCTTTCTGGATAACAGTGGTCATAGACTGGTTCCAGCCGAGTTGATTCATTTGACAAAAGACGAACAACAAAGCAAGAACCATGAAGATAATGGTAACGATAAGCATCAAGAAACAAATTCAGATTCTAAAGTACGGTTAAAGACGGAAGTTAAAATGGTTGTGGATGATAGGTTCAGACAAGAAGAGGCTGGAAGGATACTTGATTTTGATCTTACTACGCCCAAGGATCCCAAGTATATGATGCTCGACTCTATGGAAATAGAAGAGGATGAAAATTCTTTTGTTTTTCATGCAAAAGAATGCCATTTGAAGATGGGGGATTATGAACAAGATGCATGTTTTCATGTAGTCCAAACTCCATCTCGACTTATAGGTCATGTTCAAGAGATGAAAGCGGCAGAAGGGAAAAATAACAATTCACTGGCTATTCCAGGTACTTGCTTTTGGTCCCGAAGGCTAATTTCATCATATTTGTATAGTATACTCGTTAAAAATAGAATTCAAAATAAGTTATTCGTAATGTAGGTTCTGAAGAAGTTGCTCGGATATCAAATTGTGAAACTGAAGGAGATGTATCAATTGGAACGGAAATTCCTGATTTAGATATAACAGATGAAATTCAGAATCAAGATTATGTTCTTTCATATGAATCCACACATGACGATCCAATTATAACATTTTCCAGTTTTACAGCAAATAATCATGGTAGGCTCAAATTCTCATTTTGCTCATCTTTTCTCTGTTCTCTTTTCCTCTGTGTTTTTGGCAATCGAGGTGGCGAGGATAGGAAATGAAAATTTTTCCTTGGTATCTTCTAATCAATGTCTTAATTTTCTATTAGGCCCTTTACAAGTCGAGGAACCGAAAGTAGTACTAAAAGCCTTATCAGCTCAGAGCAGTGAGCACGTGAACGAAAAATCATTGTTTCATTTGCAGCTCAATGATATTGACGTAAACAAGGTTCCTGATACACCGGCTTCTACACCCACTTCTGCAGACAGTCTCCATCATTTGCACAAGAAATTTCCACTGATTGAGAATAAGGATTCGGGAACTGAAGAGTCTCTGGATGGAAGTGTGACCAGTGAGCTAGAATGTGGTGACGGAGTTGTTACAATTGAACACTTGAAATCAGCTCTAAGATCTGAACGTAAGACTTTACGTGCATTATATGCTGAGCTGGAAGAAGAGCGAAGTGCTTCTGCCGTGGCTGCTAATCAAACGATGGCAATGATAAACAGACTACAAGAAGAGAAAGCGGCAATGCAAATGGAAGCTTTACAGTATCAGAGAATGATGGAAGAGCAATCTGAATATGATCAAGAAGCTCTGCAACTCTTGAACGAACTTATGGTAAAAAGGGAGAAGGAAAAACAGGAGCTCGAGAAAGAGTTGGAAATATATCGAAAGAAGGTTTTAGACTATGAAACAAAAGAGAAGAAGAGGATATTGAGAAGAAGTAAGGATGGGAGTACTAGAAGTGGATTCTCCTCTGCTTCTTTTAGCAACGGTGAGGATAGTGATGGATTATCTATTGATCTAAATCAAGAAGCAAAGGTGGAAGAAAGCTTTTATAGCAATCTCGAGTCGAGCAACCAGAACACTCCGGTTGATGCAGCACTAAATTTGGATGAGACGTTAGCTGACTTTGAAGAAGAGAGGTTATCCATTCTAGAGCAGCTCAAGGTGTTAGAAGAAAAGCTTATGGCATTGGATATCCAGGAGGAACAAAATTTCATGGATTTTACACCGACGGAAGATTTCCATGAAGAGATCATCAATCATGTGGGTGAAAATGCTGAAGTAAATGGCAATCATATATATGAAAATATTTGTTTCAGGGGTGAAGCAAATTGGCACGCAAATGGTTTAACTAAGGAAATGAATGGGAAACATCATCAACAAAGAAGAATTGTGGGTGCGAATGGAAAACGGCTGCTTCCTTTTTTTGATGCGATTAGTAATGAAAATGGAAATGTGTTCTCGAATGGAAATGGATTTGAATCTAATGGGGTGCACAATTCTTATGAATCAAAGCTAGAATTAGATAACAAGATGCTTGCCTTTGAAGAGGAGGTGGATCATCTCTATGAAAGGTTGCAAGCTCTTGAGGCAGACAGAGAATTCCTAAAGCATTGCATAGGCTCCTTAAGAAAAGGTGACAAGGGAATGGATCTCCTCCAAGAAATTTTACAACATCTTCGTGATCTGCGCAATGTGGAGCTCCGAGTGAGAAATTTGAGTGACAATGCTATAGTCTGAAACTCTTGGTAATTCTATTAACTTTATTTAGTATTTCATATGTTCACTCATACTAGATTTTACTTAGAGTACATTATCTGATATGTATATTTATTTTATTAGTAAACACAGATTCAAGTTTGATTGCTATGGAGGAAGGAAGCATGCAAAACGATGATGATCATGTGATATAGCAGAAGAATTCTGTGTATTCAAAGAAAAATTTGAGGGAAGTTCCTTGATGGAGTGTCTGATTGAGAAGCTCCCGGATGATGTTTTTCGGGGTGACTTTGGCAGACAATGGAATCGATTCTGCCTAACTTTCGCTCTTTTCTTCTTGGTTATTTTCTCCAAGAAAACTCGAACTTGAGTTGGTCTGTGTCCATCTCAACCTTTAAAGAGAAAGGGGGATGGTGAATGTATGTGTGTGCAGTCTAGTGAAGAGAATCAGTAATTTATTAGATATTTTGAATTTTTTTGGTGGCAAGGAAGAGAGTAGTGGGTAACTTCCTTTTCCAGCCTCATTTTTGCATCATTTTAAACACAAGGTTGTTTATTAGTTTAAAGGCTAAGTCGGGTTAGTTGTATATCACATATATCCATGTGCAATTATATAAAAGCAAGTGTTTGATAATTTTTAATTAATTCTTTCCGTTAACTCATCATTTCCTTTAGACTAATGGGGTGTGTTGTTACAAACGTAAAGTGTGACTAGGCTTGGAGGTCAAAATTTATGCTTTACAAGTTTAGGCTTAAAAAGACATTTTTCTTATTTTTAATATTATTTTAAATTTTTTAATCATTCTAAAAATGATTTTGTAATTACAATAATACATACATACCAAACATCTAGAATTATAAAATTCTATATTTACTTTAATAATTTCTACAGTTATACAATTTTAAAAAAAATTGAAACTAAATCAAATAAAAGGCTTTCAAAAAAAATAAATAAATAATTAAAAAAAAAAATAAAGTACGCCTAGGAACACCAGGCACTCATCAAGTGATCAATTTGACAATAGACCGTTTAATTTCGTGTTTATTGGCAAGACCAGACATTTCGTCCTCGCCTCGCTTCTTCTACCAGCATAGTGTATATTTTAGGGATCAACAAGGATTTTTGGGTATATTGGGATGGACGAAATTAATGATTTCGTCTACCAATTTATCATTTCCATCAATTAGACAACAAACATAAGGACTAACGGAGTACACATTTTAAGGGTATGTGTTCAATTGGAGCTTTTATAAACTTTTTTAAGTAGATGACTTTTTGTGAATTTTATGATTTTTTAAGTGATCTCCATGGATTTGTTAAGAATTAATAAAAGTCTTCCTTGGATTTCTGTAGAATTTGATTAAAGATTTTTAAAAACTTTTCATCTTACAAATTTATTATGTACCTGAAAAATTACAATATTTCTTATCACTTAATGAACATTTTCAAGAACCATGATGCTCACAAAATTTCTTGTATAAAGTCACTAGTCAAGGTCTAGTCATTCAATTTTGGCGCAAATAAAATAATAAAAAACTTTTGCATCAATTTCTAAGAACATAAGTATTTTTTTTTCACGAAATTAACATAATTTCTAAGAATACAAATTGTTGTTAACCAAAAAAATAAAATAATAGATCAATTACATGGAATTCGATGTTTTGAAACAACTGCATATAATTTCAATTCAAAAATAATTATGTACGTATTGAATTCATAAATTGACTACACAAATGAATTGAAGTGATATGATAAAATCCTAGAATTGAAAAATAAATAATGTTATTTTTTTTGGGTTCTGAAATCTTTACAAATCTTAGAGTATATGAGAGATTTTATTTGAGATTTGCTATTTATATTTTTTCATTAGAAAATCTCCAGAAATCCAGTAAGTAGAGAATTCTCCAAAAGTCACTGTTTATTCAAATACTTCATGACTTATAGAGACTTCTAAGTTTAATTGAATATCTCGTAACTTTGACTTTTTACAAGGTACAGTAGCTTTAAT